ACGAGTTTATCTCTGACAATGCCACTACACTGAGAGATATGTTTCCGAGATCTCGCCAGTAAATAAAATTTTTTCTTCAACATACCGGTAAAAGTCGCTGGGGAGCAGTACAACCAGTGAGGTATCACGCATGTTTTAACGAACCTTACAATCAGCTTGTGAGGAACAGAAAGTAATCTTAATCGGAGTGAGAAATATGAAAGCTTTCTAACTTTACAGAATGTGTTTTGAACGTGCAGTGACCACAATAAATTGTGTGATAGGGTAACGCTAAGGTAATTTACTACCGTTGATTTCGGTACGGATTGTTGATTGGCAGAGAGGGTGGGGAACCTATTTGTGAGAGCTGAATATGGTACATTGGCCAAGAGGGAAAATACAACATTTTGACATTTAGAGGCATTCAATGAGAGGGAACGGGACAGGGACCAAATGAAAACGTCGTTTAACTTGCTTTGAATTTCTGAGGCCTCTTCAGGGGTGGATGCTTTGCAACCCAAAACAACGTCATCTACCTATTTACAGCCAATGAAAGCAGGAGGAATGGGGAATTGTTTGACACATTGAAAAGAAGAATGGGGAAAATATTGCACGTGCAGAACACCAGAAGAAACTGGGCGAGTGAAGGACTTCTTGCTGTTGAGGCACGTAAACTGCTTTCTATTTGTGAAATACTCGCAGATCAGTCTGCTAACGTTTGGATTAACATCACTTTCGGTAATCAGGTTGAGCAGTTCTGACCGATCTAGACTGACAAACGCGTTTTTGTAGTCTAAGAACAGTATTCTGATGGTGAATGTCGTATTGCTAATAACACAGCGATGTCGGTAGAGAATTATATTCGCCGACGTTTCGGTTAACGTGGGTAACCTTTCTCAAAGCAGGTTTTACAGTCAAATTGTAAAATCAATTGTAAAACCTGCCTTGGGAAAGGTTACCCACGTTAACCGAAACGTCGGCGAATATAATTCTCTACCGATTTCGCTATGTTATTAACACTATAACATTCACAATCAAACAACACATGGCACATCGATTTTTTCGGTACATACCTAACATCATTTGGTCGCAAAGCATTCTGATGGCCTTAATTTTTTATCTAGTGCCGAAATTATTGAATGAACAAGATAAGCAACGGTATCAAGCGTCCACCGCGAAGAACGATGTGCATATTGATAAATGTCGTCTTCCTCAGACTCAGTGACAACCCACGGTAATAAGCATCTCTCAAATAATTTGAACATGGCTGACGTGCTGGCGCTGGGATTATACTTCCCCAGGCTCCATTTTAGGAATGGGAGTTATCTTGGTCAGTCATTAAATAGTCAGTCAAACAGTCATTAAATATTTTAGACAATGGGACTGATGGAGTGTCCGCACAAACTTTGAGTACCACGGGTGATAACTCATCAGGGCCCAATGCTTTATTCCACTTAGTTTTCAGTAGCTGTTTCAGAACTGTGGCGGTTTCGATAGTTGGTGTTGGCATAGCGCTGATTATGTCTGACAGGGCAGTGCACTGTGAAACTGGACTAAACTCAGAATTTTAGTCTTTCGACGTCCACAGTTTCCTTTATATGTTCACTGCTACTGCCATACAATCAGTTGATAACCCTCCACATGCCACGACAACTAGAGTTTCCCAGGATAGTGTCGATGTACAATTTGTTCAACCGATTTATTTCCGCTTTGATCGAAACTGTTAGCAGCCTAACATGGATTCTTTGTCCATGTTTATAGGCTTGTTCTTTCCACCTGCGTAACTGCTTGAGTGGCGGTGATGAATGTCTTTATGGATAAAGACCGTTTCTAGTGGACAACTGTGGTTAGAACAGAAATTAAAGTAGTCCGTAACATGTTCACAGAGTACAGAAGGGTTCTGATCGGGAAAATCGAAAAATCTGTCGTGGCAATTATGGATCTTAGCCTTTCTAGATTCTCTGATGAACTATTTCTTTGACTCACTCACTATCTTGCAAGGCCTTCTTAAAAATCTGTATAGGATAGTTTTGCTGTATACAGTGGGACATACTTTTAAGAT